AAATGTCCTCCAATTTGTTCACTGGGTTTCAATCTTGAACCGTGGAGTTCAGACATGAGTAAACATGAAGATTCAATTGAGATAGGCCTGTAGCAATTTTCCAATTCAGCCCAAATTTTTCGGGCCGTTGTATTTGGTGGAAAAGTGACCTGCAGTTCAGTATCCATGGACATCAATAATGTTGTGCGAGCCCTTATCTCTAAATCTCTTATTGCATAAGTCCAAGGTGGAGCAGGTGGGTTAAATACCATACAGTGCGTGCCTTCTCTAAGAAGCAATAGTGTAATCTCACTGACCCAGGCTTTGTAATTGTGTCCTGACATTTTTAGTTTTGACTCACCAGTTAGTGGAGAGACAGAAAATGCCTGGTAAGGAGCCTGCACTTGGTATGCTGGCTGTGCTGGCAGGAATGCCTGTGGTATTTGCTGTGCCTGTTGTGGACCTAAAAATGGTCTTGGTTGTGCCATTGGAGGTGGGCCAGGAGGTGGCCCTCTTTGCACTTGTGGCTGGGGCACATATGCAGGCATTTGTAGCTGCTGTGGCTGATGCACTGGAATCTGCTGTATTCCAGTTGCCATTTGTGCTTGATCTGCAATATTGGCATTACCTGCTGGAGATGCAGTCATTTGCCTTTGCTGTGTTCCATCTAAAAGGACACCAACACCGCCAGGGGGTGTTTGAGTTTGGGCCTGTGGAAACACTTGTGGCATTTCAGCTTCCTGTAGTAAATTGCTTTTGCCAGCAGATGGCGCTGCACCTTTAGCTTCGGGCAGCTTTGCATACGTGGCATTATATGCTTTAGAGTAGGAGTGGTTATGTAAGACATGTGTAACTTGATCAGGGAGACTTTCATGTGACGTATGCAGTGCTCTTTGCCTTAATTGGCCTGACACAGAATCCACCAGGGGGAGTGTCTTTGGCTCTGGAGAAGAAGGCAATATGGCGCTTTTTGAAAAATTTAAGTTATCTCCCATATCTTGCTCAAGCATAGATATAGCCATTTTTGCCTGGGATAGCTGCTGTTCATAGAGTTTTATACGGTCACGATAGGCTTTCATAGCCAGCTCATCCAGGGTGAGCTTAGAGTTTCGAGGAGAATAATGAATTGTTTCTCTCTCTGTGTGGGAGGAATTTTGCTCGGCAGTGTGCTTTAGCCTTGCATCGAGCATTACAAATTCAGAAGGTTCTGGGAAGACTTTTTCAGAGCTTGGAAGATCAGAAGAAAATGTTACTGACCTCAGTCGTAAATCATCATCTTCAAAAACAGCTTCTGTCTTATCTGTCTCCATTTCTGTTCCCACGGCTTTTTCTTGTTCCAGGTGTGTGGCTCTAGTAAGGGGCTGGAAATCTGGAAACCTCCTTTCTGCCACCTTCTCAGCAAAATACATTTTGTATTTGTTTTACTTCTGTTTCGGCATCTCAGCAATATAATTAGCGTACCTCAGTAGCTAAAAACTAATTGCCTATGCGCTCTTATCAGAAGTAACAAAACAAGGAAAAAAGCCATAAATCAAACCGTCCTCATGCTATCAGATGTCAGGGCATTTATTAATCCCATGTTTGGCTCTGGGACTAATTACCCTGGTTTAGAGGAGATGAATCGAGGCTTATCCTTGTTTGCAATAATCTGAAAAGAAACGCGAGGAAAAGTTTCTAATAAAACTCATTTATTTGTTATAAAGAAAATAAAACACCTCACTAACTAAGAAAAGTTAATTGTTACATTTTGGAAGTAATTTGGGCCAGCTGCCTTTCAGCAACCGGCACCCGTGGCAAGAGAACAAAGGAAAGAGTGTGAGAAGGAATGTGGGTGGATGGACATGCGTAGTAGCTTTTGATAACAATTCTTGGCAAGGTACGAAGAGTCAGATAGTCCAGAAAATAATGAGCTCAGCTGGTAAATAAAATAATACAGTGACAATATTTTCCTTAAATCATCTCTGTCATTTTCCTGCAGTCCTCTGAGTCTAATTGCATATTCAGTAAAATTATATTGCATCATTAAAACTTCTCTTTCAATCCGTTGTTGTATGTTTTCTGCATTACAAGTCTTTTGATCAGCCTCCATTTTAGGATTTTCTTCTGAGCTATTTTCTTGAGTGTTTGTCAAATCATTTTCAATTTTTTGTATTCTATTATCCAAATTGTCCTCAATTTCTTCCACTTTAGACTCTAATAAGTTAGTATTTGCATCCAACTTGATCATAAATTCTGCAAAACCATTAGCCACTTTTATGATCTTTCGGTCCAAAATATCAAACTTTGATTGCACTAATTCCTTAATTTCCTGCTTAAATTTTTTAAAGTTCTGATTCACAATCTCATCCCTTCTTACAATCTCCTCCAAGAGAAATTCAATTATATTAAAATCAGTTTTCTGAGACTGGAGATTTAGAACTTGTTCACATAATTTATTAATGGGGGAATCCCCCCCCCTGCTTGTTTGTCCGGCTTTGCAAGCTTTAATGCCATATTTCCACACAGACAAACTATTTTAAAAAAAAGAAAAGAGAGGCAGAGAAGAAAAAAAAAACTTCTTTCCAACCAAGATCAATATCAGATCTCCAGGAAAAACAAAACACAAAAGTAGAGCTTCTTCAATTGTAGCCAGAAGTATTTATTCTGCTACTTTGTATCTTAATAGAGAACGGAAGGACTCTCCCTTTCAGCCCCTTCTCAAGCCTCGGCAGTCGCCATTTTTAAAAATTCTTTTTCTCCTTTTCCATTCCTTCTTCAATCATTGTTATAAAATAGATGAAATACTTGTGTTTCAGGGTCACAGGTCCAGCTCATATCCTTTTTAATTGTTCTGTTAGTTTTGTAGGCTTGATCTTGTCGCCTAGCTCTGCATAAGCAGAGGTCTCCCAAAGCCCGGAGCGACAGCGAGGGAAATAGGGAGCATCATCTGCTTCGTCCCCAAAAGTAAAAAAAAAAACTTTTGGGGTTAGGCAGAGAGCTCTACCTGCCCCTGCCGGCTCTATCTCCATTTCCACATGGAAATGGAGTTTTTTCGAGCTGCCTTTCAGTTGTAAAGGCGGCTCTTTACAGGCAATGGGGCGGCGATCCCAAGGGATCGTCTAGCGGCGGCAAGAAGCAAACCGCCAAGTTGCTATAATTATTCTTCCCTTTCACTTTGGCTTTGAATTGAAATATAAAGCTACAATTTGATATCTCTCTTCTTGCTATTCAGTCCCACGGTCAATCCCAGTAGTGTTTTCAACCACCTGCAAAGATTGCAAATTAGGGGTTCCACATTGTAGTGGTTCTACTCCTGCCTGAAGCTACAGTTTCAGTTAACAATAACAGGGGAAAGAAGTCAGGTCTTCAAATGCTTTGTGATGGAGCTTGCAGGGCTTGTTCCTTTTCCCATTCTGTTCAAATTCTGCTCAGAATTAGGAGCAGTCATCTATCCATCATGATAACTCTCAGGTAGTGGATCATCAACAACAATAAAGATGGACAATTAGGGTGATGATGGATGCATTGCTGGAAGACCTGAAGGATAGAGTGGGACAAATTCCCTGGAGACTATCAATCTATGTGATTTCTGAGAGTGGATACCGCCTTCTTGGCATGTAATTAAACAATTAATTAGCTCCTCCTGGCATTGCCCCAGGGATACCATCAAAACATCAACTGGTCTAGAATTCAATACCTGTACGCTCAATATATACTCTTAGATCTGCTACATTACATCATTGCTACAAAAGTTGCAGTGGCTACCAATGTGCCTCTGAGTACAATCAAGGGGCTGGTCATGATTAGTTGCTTATAGCTTGAGTTTGGGCATCTATGACATTGAGTTTTCCAGATAACCAGGGTTTGTTTAACCTGGATGGCAAGAGTTCCCAGCTTTCAGGTTAGTCAGGGAGTGATATCACATCTTCTCCTTGCAGCTCCCCTCCTTAGGAACAGCTGCCCTAAATAGAGTACGGCAGTCACTCTCCTGGTTTTCTTGAAGCTAGTAGTGAGTGTAGGACCACACAGATTTATGTCTACGTGTGTGCATTTTTCTTATGATTTATTCTTAATCATTATGTTATTGGATTTAAAATTTTTGATTATTTTATTGCTATTTTAATATCTGTAAACTGCCTAGAATCCATAAGAATCAACATGGTACAGAAATAGCATGCATGAATAAACAAAGAAACTTCTCCATGAAGTTCTTCTAATGCCTGTGGTGGAACAACTGGTTCTGGGAGAGGTTGGGCCACTAAAATTGTGAGCTGTCTTTCACTAGACATCCCCTAATCTGCTAGTGCTAAAATTAAAAGCACAGCAATATTCTTCCCCACTAATTAAAGAATTCCCTATAGTCTTGTTAGAAATGGAGTTGGAATTTCTATTGGTATTGATATTTAGATTTTGGTATGGTAATAGTTTATATTTTTATTCTTTAAAAATGGAAACAATAGCTCAGCTATGGAGTCTATTATCAGCAAAAGCAATTACTGTATCTTTTAATGATATAAAAATATTGCCATGCAGCTCAGTAGTGGTTTTCACTTACCTTCGCTACTGGTTCAGAACTGTGAACTTGTTTCGTTCACGCGCGGCACTTCTGCGCATGCACAGAGCATCCGTGATGACGTCCGGGTGGGTGGGTGGAACCGGGGTGAACCAGTAGAAACCCACCACTGATGCAGATTACCCCTACATTGATGATACAGCAGACCTTTGGGGGAGCATCTGAAGAGTGCAGTTTTTGCACTAACTTAGCCATTAAACCACCAATGGATGTGTCTTTCATTGCACCACTCCTCTTCAGCAATCTGAAACTTTTCAGATTGTCCTATTTCAATTACATCCCAAGAATTTCCAATGAGCCTTTTCAGAATAGAAAAGTGCAGCCTAGCTGGGAATGCTTCAAGTTGGGATTAGAATTACCAGTAAAACACATAAATAATTGCAGCTTATTTTAGCTCTAATCATAAATAGACTCAAACTGGCCCTGGATTGGTGATAGCAAAATTGTAAAATTAAACTTTTTGAGTCACCTTTGCATTTAGGAATCATGGGTGGTGTCCCATCACACTGGATTACAAAAGTTGATTGGGAAGAATTTGCTTCCAGGACATATCCTGTTCTACAGGTCAGCTCAATGGAAAGACCACGTTGAACAAATATATTGTCAGGCACCTCTATTCCATCTTTAACTTCTATCTTCTGGCTTTCCAATTCAGTCCTGGAGATCACACAGGGATCTGAGGTGAAAAAGAAAGCAAATCCTATTTGAGAAGGCTGTCGGGATCGAAATGCACCATATTATCTTATTGCAAGATTTACCTAGATTTAGCTTTCATCTAGTGCAGTGGTTCTCAACCCTCCTAATGCCGCGACCCTTTAATACATTTCCTCATGTTGTGGTGACCCCCAACCAGGGGTGGGTTCTAAACTTTTTTACTAACGGTTCTGTGGGTGTGGCTTATTTTGCAGGCGTGGCTTGGAGGTCATGTGACTGGGTGGGCGTGGCTAGCTGGTCATGTGACCGGGTGACCGTGGCTATGTGTATAGGGACTACTCAGAGGGCTGAAAAAAGTCATTTCTGACAGGTACTCGGACTTTTGACTGGTCCTCACACTTATGACCATCCTCACATTTATGCCTGTGCAGCATTCTTAACAACCATATCACTCATTTCACAACTGCTTCTCTTCAACATGGTATAAGATACGGCAAAAAAACGTAAAATGTGAGGACAGTCGTAAATTCAAGGACTGGTCAAAAGTGCAAGGACCAGTCAAAAATAACTTTTTCAGCCTTTGAGTAGTCCATATGCATAAAAGGATACAGCAATAGAGAGGATGAAGGAAGGGAAGGGAAATTAGAGTAGGAGTGAGGGTAAGAGAGGGAGGAAGAGAGGAAGAGAGGAGGAGAAGGAGAAAGAAAGAGGAAGTAGGGAGAAGAAGAAAAGGGGGGAAGAGAAAGTAAGAAGGAAAGAAAAGACAGAGATAGTAGGTTTGAGGAGAAAGATTGCTGTACAATAAAAAAGATGAAAGGGAAGAAAGCCAACCCCAAACAAATATAAAGATATTAAGATAAAGAATGAATTGTTAAACTTTAAAGAATAAAAGAGAACAAATAGCAATAAATAGCAATAATTAGAAACACACATACAAACATACAACGTATTTTCTTTGAACAGAGTATTTGGCCGGTGCACAAATTTAAACAGTTGTAGGAGGTTAGCACCCACCCCTTTCCTAGAAGAATGAAATATTTTGGGAAATATTAAAAAGGCAGAATATTATATTTCCCTGGATGAGAAATGGAGAAGCATATTTTACAGACAAAGCAGCTCCCACCTTCCTGCCCCCCACCCTTTGTTAATGGGCCAGAGGCAGAAAGTCAATCCTTTGTCAAAGGACATTTGCAACACAATAGCAACAGAAACTAACACAATGGACCCCATCTAGCAACCGAAACTCACCACACGTGACCTTGGAAGCATGTGACCTGGGAAGCACATGTGACCATCAGCCAGCAATGCTAGCTAAGACCCCCACCCCCTGGGAGTCTGACAACCAATCAGGATACTCTTTCGGGGCCCCAAGAAATGCAAAGCCAGAGAGAGCATAAAAACCCGAAGATTTACTGTATCTGCCCCTTTTCTGTTCAGGAACTCAAGCCATGTGATCCTGTCCACCATTAAACCATCTTTCCAAGCAGTCTCCATGTTTCCAGTGTCTTTTTCCCCACTTGGAGCAGAACCCAAAAGGATATTTCTTCCAACACAGTGTTTAGTCATTTCAATTAAATTTACAATTTCTATATTTGCTTTTTACCATATTTATTCCTCATCTATTTTTTTAAAAAACCAATATTACCCTTCATCCTCATCTCTAATCTTAATCAAATTCAATTTTTCCCTTCTATTCTACATTATATCCCTTCGCATTGTCATCTATTTTTATATCCATCCTCACATTGGTTAATTATGTAATTATGTAATACAGTTGTTTAATACAAATTCAACATTTTAATATAAATCAATTAGTTATATAACTATCTTTTTTGTATATTAATCAATATGAACATGAATATTCCAATTATTTCCATGCAATCCAATTTCTTACAAATCAATTAATTATATTTACCAATAATAATAAACCAAATAATTTCCCCCATATATTCCTCCAAACCACAACTTAACCATTTCTGCTTTCAACACAATATACAATTAATAGTATCTCAATTATTACAATTCCCTAGTTAAATAGAGCTTTTTTTCTTTGGTGTTTTAAAATCTTGAACCTCCTCTTTTGCCCTAAATTTCCCATTGTTTGCAGTTTTGCACCTACCTTTTTTGGTGAGGAAAAAGAAAAAGAAATATCTCTCTGCCTCATTTTGTCACGTTGCAGCAAAGACCCTGCTTCCTTACTTTCAATTTCACTTTTTCAGCATAGCTAGGGGGAAAAAAAATTGCTCCAGGAATTTACCTTTTTGCAGCTAGCTCTTTGAAGCCCTGCGGCAAGAATTTAAAGTTTTTTTCCCTCTAGCCATCAGCTGGGACTCCGGAGGCAGCAATAGATTGGGAGTGGGCAGGGTAAACGAACGGCGACTGGGCGATCCGACAGAGGCAGAGGGTGAGGGTGAGTGAAGGCATGGGGGGGTGAGAGAGGGCTTTGGCGACCCCTGTGAAATGGCTGTTCGACCCCCAAAGGGGTCGTGACCCCCAGGTTGAGAACCGCTGATCTAGTAGCTACTTCACCTCAGTTAATAGAATTGAAATCGTATCCAAAGGAGAGCTGCTGCAGGAAACATCAATTAAATCTTTTTATGAGAGAAAGAGAGAAAGCAGTTATTCTTAATTATTAGAAATGCTCGTGAAAATTAGATGAAGACTTTCTTTTCCGCTTACCAAGGCAAATGGGTACTTTTGTCCAGGTCCCATCATCACAAAAAGATCTTTTTTGGCCTTCCATGGCATAATAAGTTTGGCATTTGAATTCTACTGAAGAGCCAGATTTGTACTGCTTCTCAGATAAAGTAGTAACGTCTCCGTTCTCAGTTCTTGGTGGACCACTGCAATTTTGCCCTCTTTCTATCAAATATGAAAGGATGAAGATGAATAAATAAATAAACTTAGAATTTCTTCTCTAAGAATTAACAGGTTAAACTGATCTAAATAATTTAAATGTGTGTGTGTGTGTGTGTGTGTGTGTGTGTAATTTATATAATACACACACACCTTATATGTATTATATAATTCCAAATTATACTTAAACATAATCTGTCATTATTATAGAATCTATGACAAAATTTTACAATATCAAATTTTCTTTACAGAAAAGAATGATCTTTTCAAAAATTGATGTTATACATTTTTGAATCCACTTCTTGATATTTAAAGTAATAGCAGTTTTCCAAACTTTCTTGGCTACAGATGATATAACCCCAAGTTCCTAAGAAAGTATTAGATGCCTTCATTTTAGAATGTAATTCAAAATAGTAAAACAGCATTCACATCTTTAACATGAAAACATTTGCATATACAGTATTTCTATTTATTACAAGATTGTTCCAAAAGAAAACCAAAATTGGCCGTGATCATATCAAATTAGTTGATAGGGTTGCCAGGTGTCCACTATTTGAGCAGATAGTCTGCTTTTTTCACATTATGTTCACTATTTTTTTTCACAAAATAGTGGACATTTTTTTTATTCAAAAGCTTTATGATGAAATGGTACATAAGTTTTGCGAGTCAGAATTCCATGATGTTTTGCGCCATGTTCCAACACGTTGGTTAAGTTTGTTTAAAGCGGTAGAAAGACTTCTTTTAAACTGGATACCTCTAAAATCGTATTTTATTTCTCTTGGATCTGATGAGTGCCATAAGGTTATCTGGAACCTTATTTCGGATCAGGAAAATGAACTCGCAAAGCACGATGAACCAACAATTTCAGAATTGTATTTATATTTCACGCACTTCTTCATGTCAATAATGCAAGACACCCTACTGAAGCTGGAAAGCAAGAAAATTCTTGCATGTGATCTTCACATTATCATGTGTAAGCTGCGTGATTCTTTGCAAAAAAAAAATACGATGAGCAGTTTTTTGGAATGAAAGTTTTATTTGCCTTACGTAAAAAACATTTGCCTGAGAATGCCGTGCAAAAGTTCAAGATAGAAGCCATCAACGTGTATCAAAGAGCCATTGCGTACCTAGAAAAGTGGTATAATTTCACTGATTCAGTATATGAGATGCTAAGTTGTTTCAATCTAATTGATCGCAATAATCCTCCAACTTTAGAAGAAATGATGAACATCTGGTTATTATCACCATGGCGAGAAGAACTTCCACCCAACACTTTCTTCGATGAAATTTCTGCCTTAGAAGAAGTTTATGTTCATCTGCAGGGCGATTCATCCCTTGATAAGTGGACGTACTTTTTCAAGAAAGAGCCAGCTCCGAGTTTACTGAAACTGTTCCAGTATTGTGCATCAATTCCGGTATCAAATGCAAATGTTGAATGAATTTTTAGCGTCATGGGAAATTTGTGGACTGACGAACGTAACCGACTGCTTGTACCATCAGTTCGAAGTGAACTTTGTATATTTTTTTAATATTTCTCAACATTGTACTGAAATTAAAGAATTATTCCTTAAACACAAAAAATTGATCAAAGCTGCGCAGTCAAATAAAAAATACACACGACAGCAAAGTAAAATGTAATTTAATATTTTACATATTATTATAATATATTTGATGTTTTGAATTTTAAGTAAAGTTTTGAAATGATTATTTTAATATGTGTTAAAATATTTGTAAGAAAATATATAATTTAATTGTAATTTTTTTATATTTTTTTACTACTTAACCCCCCCCCCCTTGCTTTTTTGGAAGCAGACCTGGCAACCCTATTAGTTGATGTGCCCTTACCTTTCTTACACCAGCAACAAAGAAAATCTATTTCAGCTACAATCAGAAATCGTTCTGAAATAGTCTTTCAGATGTTCCACTAAACTCAGAAAAAATCCTGTCATAAATTCATTTCAAACTCAAGTTACACTTAACACAAACACTTAACATGTTTTAAAGTCTTACATAAATTGATACTCCATTATCAAATATTCCAAGTCTTCACCCCATAAGTCAGAAATATCAGCATTTTCAACTTTAAAGGTATTTTAAAATTTCTGATATGTTTCAATTCAATTTGATTAACAATAAAATATGATTAAATTGATTATATTGACACTGTTAAATTTTGGGGCAGGAAATTCTAGCTGAAACTGTTGACATTCCTTAAAATAATAATTATAAAGAAATTGGTTTAACATTATTATACATTCTGCCCAACTTTTCAAATAAAATCAGGTACAACCTATTAGAACAATCTCTCTCTCTCTCTCTCTCTCTCTCTCTCTCTCTCTCTCTCTCTCTCTCTCTCTCTCTCTCTCTTGTTTTGTTATAAGTTAAAATACTTTTTGCTTTATGTTGACTCAGATAACTGCCAAGATCTCTACAGAAATATATGAAGTAATGGTATGTGGGAATGACCTTGGGAGAAAAGGGGAAGAAATGCAACCAAGGGAACCATCAGTTTTATTGTTGTGAGCCGCCCTGAGTCCATTGTGAGATAGGGTGGCATATAAGCCGAATAAAATAAAAGGCAACTCAGTCCATGCCAGGAATAGACAGGGCAAGCGGTTCAGAAGAGACCCTCCCAGTTTCATGGGCTGTAAAGGGCAGAGGGGGAAGGAATGTACTTTTGGATTGCAAGATTCTGTTAAAGTACCCCTACCTTAACAGTAGAATTAGCTCATCTGATTATACATTCTCTACGATCTACTTTGCAAGGCTGACACATAATCATGTTCTAATAAAGACTGTAAAGGTCTTTCAGTTAAATTATTACACACAGATAGATATGATTAAATAACTGAATAGTAATATCAGTGTTATATTATTGCTCGTTCTGTTGGATCTGTAATTGAATCTGTTCTATTGTATATTCTATTGCATTTGTAATTCTCATACTATCATATGTAGATATTTTAAACTTTATGTTGCTGTCTCACTTGTTTTAAACAACATGCTAACAATTTACCTGTTAATTCATCAAGCACCCCGTATTTTAATTTTAAACTCTTCAACTTTATCAGCATAAAAATAATCCATCAGCTCTGTGAGCGTAGCACAGTATAATTTCTATTTATAGGCTGATTTAACCATCAAATACTTTCCAAGTTAAATTATCTTTTAATAATATGACATCAACGTATTTTTGCACAATTGCAATTTGTGATACAAATTCCTATGTCTACCAATATTATGCATATTTTCAACTACAAGGAAACATAATTCTTAATTGAAGTTCAGTTAAGACTTAACCTTAGAGACAATTTGTAAGTTTGGAGAAATGCCAGAACATTCTTCTCCTATCTGATGTGCTTCAGATTTTTTTAAAAATTAGATTACACTAGTAAAATTCTAAGCCAAGATGTGAGAGAGTTCAGTGAAGATTAAATCACTGACAGAATCCATGATACTGACAGCATGCTTACCAGAGATACATAAAGGCAACTCCATGTAACCGTCAACACACTTTCTGACTGATGGAACCACAATGACATATCCTTCATTGCATTGAAATTGCAGGCTATGATTACTCTGAATAAGTCGAGCTTTTCTTTGACTCCCAAATACAAACAAGTTTTTTGTTGCTAGCTGTTGCCTTGTGATACTGCAGGGTGCTAAAAAAAATAGAAAAGAAAAGAAGGTAGATCTTCTGAAGGGAGATAATTGCCAATTGGTTTCTCCTCTATTCTACCACTAAGAAAATAAACCAGATTTACAAGTCACAATGGATAATTCTAGGCCAAATACAAATAAGCCAAGTTAGAGCACAGTATTAATGATGAACAAGTTATGATTCTGCTATAGTTTTTAGACCTATGCTAGAGGACTGGCTTGTAGAAGCATGCCAAACGGATGTTGTTCTGTTTGTTTTAAGTTAAGAACACACAGCGCAATTCAGAATGTTCTGCAAAGATGTCTTGAGTTTACTGAGTTGTAATGGGACAATTTCTATTTTCTAATTTCTACTTTTTGCTCACATTAATGAGATTATTGTTATTAATAATGAGGCAAGTCAGTATCCTATCAGTCAATGTTCTTCCACCCATTTAACATTTCCAGCATTACAGGTTTGACAGACAATACTTTAAAGCCCTTAAAACCTTCTTTTTCCAACAAGCCGGGCTGGCCTAATTCTTTTTAAGTGTTTTTAATTGTTTTGTTTATCGTTTTAATTAATGGGGCCAAATTTATATATATATTTTAACTGTATTTTAATATTTGTATTTGATGTTTTTATTTGGCTGTTCACCGCCCTGGGTCCTCAGGGAGAAGGGCGGTATACAAATTCAAAATAAACTAATAAATAAACTAAACTAAACTTTTAGCTATCCAGTAAATATTATAAAGCCCCTTATTGAATTGTGATGTCGTTGTTTAGTTGCTAAGTCATGTCTGACTCTTCACAATGCCATAGACCATAGCAAACCAGGACCCCTGTCCTCAATTGTCTCCTGGAGTTTGCCCCAATTCATGTTCATTGCATCAATGACACTATCTATCCATCTCATCCTCTGCTGTCCCCTTGTCCTTTTGCCTTCAATCTTTCTCAACATCAGGGTCTTTGCCCTACTTCATTTTTAACTTCATGGCTAAACTTCTTATTGCTATTATTTCGGTTATCTTGATTTCCTATTTTTTGAATTCCAATCCACTATGATGAAATCCAGTTTGACACCCTGCTTTATAACATCAGTGGTTGGGGCATAGATTTGAATTACTATGATCTTGAAGGCTTTGCCTTGAATTCTTTTTTTTTTTTAATTTAAAAAGTTTTACAAATACATTTTCTCCCCAATTCCCCCCCCCAAACCCACCCTAACCCTCCCTCCCCCCAAATGACTTCCTCAGGATAAAATCAAAATCAAAATTACATTTTTTGAGACTTAAACCCCTCCACCCCCTGTTTGACACCCTGCTCTATAGCATCAGTGGTTGGGGCATAGATTTAAATTACTATGATGTTGAATGCTTTGCCTTGAATTCTAACCAAGATCATTCTGTCATTTTTGAGTTTATATCCCTGTATTGTTTTTCCATTAAAATTGCTCATTCTCATCCACTTTAATTGCACTGATTCCCAAGATGTTGCTTTCAATCTTTCCATTTCATGTTCAACCAGATCCGTGTTACTTTGATTCATAGATCTTACATTCCAGATTCCTATGGAATAGTGTTCTTACAGCACTGGACTTTCTTTTCACCACCAGACACATCCACAGCTGAGTGTCATTTCAGCTTTGGCCCAGCTGCTTCATTCTTTCTTGTGCTACTTGTAATTGCCCTCCTCTCTTCCCCAGTAGCATATTGGACACAATCCAATCTGAAGAACTCATCTTCCAGCATCATATTGTTTAGCCTTTTGGTACTGTTCATGTGGTTTTATTGACAAGGATACCGGTGTGGGTTGCAATTTCCTTCTCAAGTAGACCACATTTTGTCAGAACTCTCCTATGACCTGTCCATCTTGGGTGACCTCACAAGGCTTAGCTCATAGCTTTTGAGCTTTTCAAGCCCCTTTGCCATGACATGGTAGTAATTCATGAAGGGGTTTGTTGAATTAATGACATCCTAATATCCATAACAAGCATAAGGGAAGCACTTTGGGGAACTGGAGGAAAAGTCACTACCAAGGCACCAGTCAAATAAAAGAAATCTGAGTCCTGGCCAGAAATGTTTCAGTGAAGTATTTTTTTTTTTAATTTGATTTATATGCCGCCCTTCTCCGGAGACTCAGGGCAGCTTACAATGTGCTCAGCAATAGCCTTTATCCTTTTGTATATTTATACAAAGTCAGCTTATTGCCCCCACAACTGGGTCCTCAATTTACCTACCTTAGAAAGGATGGAAGGCTGAGTCAACCTTGAGCCTTGGCGAGATTCGAACCTGCAGTAATTGCAGGCAGCTGGTCTTAATAACCAGCTTAATAATAGGGTGCCTTAGACCACTGTACTACCAAGGCTTTTGTCCTCTGAATAACCTCGACAAACTGTGCTGAATTGTCTGAGTTTTTGTTATTTCCTAGACAGTTTTTGCTAAAAGGATGTAGGAATGTGATGATTTACCCAACTGTACCAGCTACAAGGATGATGGGATCTAGTTTTGCATTATTAATAGAGATGGAAAGATCATGGAGGAAACTGAGTAAATGTGCTGAATAAATTGTAATTACTAGAGTCAAAAGTTTTCCTTCTACATCATTCTAGCTGGCTGAATTCCATAGCAAAAGAATTCACTTTCCTATTTTATTAACCACTGAGTCTGTAACCAGATGTAATTGTATCCCGCAGTTACTCAGCATCCTTGAATAAGCTTCCAATTGAATATCATTTAGTTATATCTACTATTTTGCTTGCTCATTCAACAATTTGGATCAGTTTAATTTTTTTTTAGCTTTCAAATGGAAGAAGATGACACCAGCACAGTTTATGGCTTTAGAGGAAAGCCTGGCTTCAGATGGAAATTCAATCCAATTCTCAAAGAATTTGGCAGCTACAATTCTTCTCCTATTGGATGAATTCAGCATTTTCTCCCAGGTCTACACTAGTAAAAAAAAAAAAGCATGATGCCTTACCCAAGCATTTTGGTGGATGAGGTGTCCATTTTTGTCCCTTACACTGAATCCATTCAGGTCCTTCCAAGACATAGCCAGGGTTGCACCTGTATTGCACTCGGTCATTTTCCAGATACTTGGCTTTCTCAGCACTCACAATTTCCCCAAAGTCAATCTCATCTGGTTCTTCACATGCTGAAATTATATTTACATAAAATTATCTTATTTGCTTAGACAAGCTCACTTTTTCTATTTACTCTCATGAACTTCCCATGAACTGGAGATAATAAACCCAAGTTAGATAATTATTTCCCACTTTTGTCTTAACTAAGAAACCAATGCTTGCTGGACACTTAACTATAAGTAATCCTCAATTTAGTGATCATTTGAAATGCCAGGGAATTTACTTGTGGAGTGCTAATGATCCAGATTCAAAATTTCAACACTCACCCCCTGCTTCGGTCAGATGAGTGCACCTTGGTACTGGGCAACTGGGTTGTATTTACAGTCAATTGCAGCATCCCGTGTACACATGATCCTGTTTTATGACAGGGTCATGTGAAAATCTAAGTAAGATTCTCTAAGATTTATGAAAATCTAAGTAAGTACAAAGCATTTACTTCTCCTCAGGGCCCGGGCCTTTGGCTGATGTTGTGCAATGCCAGGTCCGTTGTAAATAAAGCCACCGTCATTTGTGATCTTGTTCAAGAGGGGGGAGCGGACCTGGCCTCCGTATTACAGAGACCTGGTTGGGCCAGGAGGAGGGGTTTCCTCTTGTTGAAATGTGCCCACCAGGCTTCCGAGCATTCCATGAGCCAAGGGTTGAGGGGAGGGGAGGGGGGTAGCGGTTGTTATAAAGGAAGGTCTTGGTCCGAAGGAGGCCACTGTGCCTCAGATAACCGGATGTGAGTCCCTCTTTGTGAAGTGGGGTCATGGGGTACAGGTGGGCCTCCTGATCACGTACCTGGCTCCCTGCCATGTGGCGGCGGCCCTGCCTGAACTGCTCAACGTGATAGCCAGGATGGCGGTTGATACCCCAAGACTTATAGTTATGGGGGATTTCAATCTGCCGTCCATCGGTGAAAAGTCTGAGGCGGCTCGAGAGTTCATGGCTTCCATGATGGCCATGGACCTGACCCAGTTAGTTCATGGCCCTACACACATAGGGGGACACACTCTGGACTTGATTTTCATCTCTGGCCAGTGGCTGAATGGTTTAGATAAAGGGGATGTAGTGATTAAACCCTTGTCATGGTCTGACCATTCTCTCCTTCAACTTGACCTTCAAACCACTACAAGGTGCCGCAGGGAGGCGGAACCAACCAACCCCAGGCACCTGATGGATCCTGATAGGTTCCAGATGGAGCTTGGGCCTTTCCCTGACGCTCTGGCTCACGACCCGGCTGAAGACCTGGTGGCTGCCTGGGATAGGGCGGCCACTGGAGCTTTGGACCATGTCGTGCCTTTGCGGCCTCTGACCCACCGCCGATCTCACTTAGATCCCTGGTTCTCTGAGGAGCTGAGGGAGATGAAGCGCCAGAAAAGACGCCTAGAGAGCAGTTGGAGGGCCAGCCTTTCCGAATCGGACCGAACACTGATAAGGTCTCATATTAAGACCTACCTAGTGGCGATAAAAATGGCAAAGTTTAATTATTTTTCCATTCTTATCACGTCTGCAGATAACCGCCGAGCCGCCCTGTTCAGGGTGACCCGCACCCTGCTCCATCCGGGAGTGTGGGAGGACCCCTTGGAGGGCAGGGCTGAGGATTTTGTGTAGTATCTGCATGACAAAGTCCCTCAAATTTGGAAAGGCCTGGACTCTGACTGGGTAGATATAGGTGGGGTGATGGAGACAGGTCTTGAGAACGTTATTTTGGAGGAGTTTGACCCAGTGACCACTGAAGATATGGACAGGATTCTGGGTAGACTTAGCACAACCACTTGTTTATTGGACCCGTGTACCTCCTGGTTGGCGCTGGCTTCCCGGGAGGTTACACGAGGCTGGCTTCAGGAGGTTGTTAACGCTTCTTTGAAAGAGGGCTACATTCCCACCACCTTGAAAGAGGCGGTGGTGAGGCCCCTCCTCAAGAAGCCCTCCCTGGACCTGGCTGTTTTAGCAAATTATCATCCTATCTCCAACGTTTGCTTTCTGTCTAAGGTTGTTGAGAGTGTGGTGGCGTGACAGTTTCCCCAGTACCTGGATGAAGCGGTCTATCTCGATCCGTTCCAGTTGGGCTTCAGGCCTAGGCACAGCACGGAAACGGCATTGATCGCATTGATTGATGATCTCTGGAGGGCTCGGGACAGGGCTGTTCCTCTGTCCTGGTCCTGTTAGATCTCTCAGCGGCTTTTGATACCATCAACCATGGTATCATGCTGCGCCAGATGGAGGGGTTAGGGGTGGGGGGCACTGTGTTGCAGTGGTTCTCCTTCTTCCTCTCTGACCGGTCACAGTTTGTGTTGACGGGGGGCCAGAGGTCGACTCCGAGGCGCCTTGTATGTGGGGTGCCACAGGGGTCGGTCCTCTTGCCCCTTCTGTTCAACATTTATGTGAAGCCGCTGGGTGAGATCATCCATGGTTTCAGGGTGAAGTACCATCAGTATGCTGATGACACTTAGCTGTACATCTCCACCCCGGACCACCCCAATGATGCCCTTGATGTCCCAGTGTCTGGAGGCCATGCGGATCTGGATGGGGAGAAACAGGCTCAAGCTCAACCCATCCAAGACCGAGTGGCTGTGGCTTCCGGCGTCCCGATATAGTCAGTTGGTGCCATCTCTGACTATTGGGGGCAAGTCATTGGCCCCCACAGAGAGGGCTCGCAACTTGGGTTTCCTCCTGGATGCATGGCTATCTTTAGAAGAGCATGTGACGGCTGTGGCCAGGGGGGCTTTTATCAGGTTCACCTGATTTGCCAGTTGCGTCCCTTTCTGGATCGGGACTCCTTATGCACGGTCACTCATGCCCTCATCACTTCCCACCTGGAGTACTGCAATGCTCTCTACATGGGGCTCCCCTTGAAGAGCACCCGGAGGCTTCAACTGGTCCAGAATGCGGCCGTGTGGGTGATTATGGGAGCATCATGGTGCTCCCATGTAACACATCTGCTGCATGAGCTGCACTGGCTCCCAGTGGTCCTCCGGGTGCAATTCAAGGTGTTGGTGACCACCTTTAGAGTGCTCCATGTCTTAGGGCCTGGATATTTACGGGACCGCCATCTGCCACTGAGAGCCTTCCACCGGCCAGTACGCTCCCACAGAGGGGGGCTCCTCTGGGTGCCATCGGCCAAACAATGCCGACTGGTGGCCCCCAGGGGGAGAGCTTTCTCTGTCGGAGCACCTGCCCTCTGGAATGAGCTCCCCCCGGAGATACGGACGATTCCAGACTTAGATACTTTCCGTTGGGCCCTCAAAACCTTTTTATTTCATCAAGTTGGGCTGGCCTAATCTCTCCAATTGTGTATTTTAATTTGGATTTTTAATGGGGGATTTTAACTGTCGGGCCAAAATGTTTAATTTATTTTTAAATTGTTGTTAAATTTTGTATTTGATGTTTTTTACTTCTGGCTGTTCACCGCCCTGAGTCCTTCGGGAGAAGGGCAGTATATAAATTTAAATATTAAATTAAATTATGATTTACTGCAAAACCACACCAATGGCGAACCATTGGTATACTTAACAAATACGTATTCACTTAATGACTGTGATAATTCATTTAATGACCACCACAAAAATATTTATAAAATCTAGTCACTCTCATGACTGACTCACTTTATGATCATAACATGTTGCATAACTGTGATGGAAAGTCTCCATTAAGATATAACTCAAGGACTGCCTGTAATATGTAAACTTCCCTTGCTGATGTGTAACCTAAGCAACTCTGTGGATGGGGAGATAGAGAGAGGTTGAAGAGCCAGCAAACTTGCCCCCCGAAAGCAACTTCTTTGTAAAAGATTCTGTGGCATTTCCTCCTTGCCAGTACTTACCGGGGCTAAACATGGGTGGTCCTGAAGGAATCTTTCTGATATTGTACATATTAGATTTTCAACAATAAATTTTTGTTAATTGTAATCACCCTCTCATCTTTCCCTATATACTTCCTTCCATCTGACTCAAAAATGTTAAAGCTGGCAACAGTTCTTTCCCCAGAGAAATAAATCCATTTCTTACTATTAATTTATCAATATCTATTATCTATAGTTTCTTTCTTTTTATCAAGTTTAAATGGTGCCAGCTGAGAATTTATTCTATAGGCTGTAATTCTCTCACCTTTCCTTTCCTTATCTTTTTTAGAGATAGAGCATAGTAGAATACAATTGTGAGATATTGAGGGGGGGAGAGAGAGAGAGAGGGAGTGGGAGAGAGGGGGGAGGGAGAGGGAGGGAGGGAGAGAGTTTATACAGTGTAGAGAGCACAAATATTCATTCAAAACAACAATGGTGGGCAGAAGCAGGGAAGAAAATAATTGTAGAATATGTCTAACCCTTCAGCTATCGAATTTGAAAGTAACAGCTTGATACGAGATGGCAATCATTACCTATTGTACAAATGGTTTGTTAATTTTACAATTATTGGGAAAAGAAAACCTTCTGTGGTCTACGTTTACAGGGTCAATACTTTTCTTACTTTTCCCCCCATATAAGAAACATAAATCAATTGATTAAAAAAGGGAAACAAGAAAGCCCAGCCTAGGCAACTGTCAGGCAACCATCAAAAACAGTGATAAATAATTAATTATTTATTTAATTATTATTTGCTCAAAGGTTCAATTAGTGTGAATATAAGCAAATGTAATCTTAGCTTCAATGTCTTGAGATGTGAATATTTCCCTCTTTTTCTTCATATCATCACTGTGAATTAAGATATATACTAATTACTTTTGTATGTATCCTGATGTAAACACAACTGAAATACATCTCTAAAATTTCAAACTTCTGACTTGTCTCCTTGAAACAGGTTATGGTTCCTAGATGATCTATCTTTTTATGCATGTATCATGTGCTATAGGGGCATCTCAAGGCATAATGGAGGCTCTCATAAAATCACCCCATCTAGAAGGAAGACGAGAGAAAAATTGGGGGGGAAATGTAGATTCATACTGACAGCATGTACTTGGTTAAATTATGGTAGAAATATGGTAGATATATAAATTATATTTATATAATATAAATATATACAATTTTACAAATTTTATAAATAAATAAAACAAATAAATATTTCATTTTTACATCTGTTCATTTCAACTTTTGAGGATATTTTTTGTTTATAAGCAAAATAAACCATTAAACATGAAGTAGCATTATTAGACATGGTAATCATTTGGTTATCATCCTATCCTCTTTTTTATTAACTGAAGCAAAGTCCCTCACAACAGGTGTGAATTTACAATACTGATGCAAGGTATTTTGCTATACACAAATCAGTTGCTCAAAAATCTTGCATTTAAGAAGGGGATTGGAATTATACTGTAAGTCTATGATATCCTTAAAGAATCTGCCATTACAAATTTCCAGAAAGCCACAGGTGGAAAATGGAACTCTTTGCTTTTGCTGAAAGAAATTGCTTCTTTGATGAACGCAGCAGAAGCTGCTTTCCTTAGTAACCCCTTGATTTCTTTTCTTCTTAACTTACCATTTTGAGAAGAGCTCCCAGGCCAGAGAAGAACAGCAGCAACCAAGAGTAGCCAGCTCTTCATAGCTCTTCAGGCAATGTCTGAACTACCAAACCTCAGTTCGGCAATTTGGCAATCTCAGTGGATTTCTCCCAACTACTACCATCCCTTCCTCATTTTATATTTGTTTGTTTATTATCAAGGATTCTGGGAGAAGACAGTATTACAGGAATAAGAATATGATCTTGCCAAGAGCTAAGAGAGGATTCCACGAGAAATTTTTGAACTTTGTGTTGCAATGATTACCATAAACAAATAAAACAATACTTTGGCTTTTCAGGCAGTGCTTTCAATTCTTACGAAGGGAAAAAAAAACACCACTTGCATTCAAGAATCTTTCCAACGTCTTCAGCAGCAGCAGCTATCAGCAAAATTATTATACATGACATTTATGAATCTGACAGATCTATTTTGCATTTATGATGTATAGGAACCACACGTTGTAGATATCCAATATCTTTCTTTAAAAAAACTGTAGTTTTACAATCTTCAGTCAAATACAGTTAATCATTGGCAATCCCATGGGAGACTGTACCCTTTGGTGCCTGTTTGTTTCCCCTTCCCCTCCCCCCCGATTCTGGAGAGCTAGGGTTGGATTTAACTTTTACAAATATCTAGGAAGTCAAAATAATATCAACTCCCAGTGGATATAAGAACAGAGAAAATAAGAAAGAGATTGCCTCCTTATCAGAAGGATACAAGATCTACCTTTTTCTTCTTACCTCATTTTTATACCTGTGTATAAGAGCTATAAAAACTTGGTTTTTACCAAGTTCCCTTCCCTCCTGAAAAAGGGAATTAAATCACTATAGCTCCCCTCACACAAAAGCTCACACAATAGTGTAAAGCACCCCCATCATCAGGGGTGGGTTCTACTTACCTCTACTACCGGTTCGCAGTGGGGCCATGTGCCCTTCTGCGCATGTGCAGACGCATTTTGATGATGTTGTGTCAGTGGGCAGAGCCTCCCGCCAGTTTTACTACCAGTTCTATAAAACCGGTGCAAACTAGGGGCAACCCACCACTGCCCATCATAGTCCCAAGCCAATTGTGTGAGACAAGTTTTGAGGTCAATCCAGAAGGCCTAGAGGGTGGGGTCATATATCATCTCCAGCAGCAAGATTGTAACCATGGCAAAGAAGGCTCTTTTCCTAGAACCTCTTAGTTGAAGTTCCTTGACTGATGGGTTCTATAGCATGCTACTTCTAGTAAATGGCTAAAATTATTCAAGTGACACAAAAATTGTAGACCATACTATCACTGAGCAATTCTTCCTTTTTAATAAATAATTATTGACACAATAACATACAATAAACTTTAAGAAGGTTTACAAGGCATTTTTAATATTAACATTGGTCCACACCTTAAAGACCTTTAGAAAAACAGCTAGCATCTTTCCTTGGCCCTTTGGGTCAGGAAAACCAGAACCAGATGATTAATTTCTTATCACCATTTTATTTGCTTAGAAGGTGTAAATAGAATGTGTGTTTTTTCTTAGTATTTGTTGATGATTTTTTTTTCTATGCTTCTTCTTGAGCAGAGGCTTATACCAGGAGACATCGATGTTCCCTTCCAATTCTGTTATTCTGTTACATCTTTATATACTGTCTTTTTTCTTTATGATATTCTTAAAATACCCTGTTTCCCTGAAAATAAGACATTCCCTAATAATAAGCCCAATTGGGATTTGAGTGCATGTGCTAAAATAAGCCTCCCCACAAAAATAAACCCTCCCTGAAAATATTTAAATGCAGAGTTGGAAATCAGGTAAGACAGCAAGAGGAATCCCATCTTACTCCATGCAACACAAAATAATAATAAGACCTCCCCAAAAATAAGGCCAAACGCTTATTTTGGGGTTCAAAAAATATAAGACAGGGTCTTATTTTCAGGGAAACACAGTATTTTTTTCTGTTTCTGGTTCTTTTTTCATTCTTTTCTGCCGTTCCTATTTCTCTTTTTTTTAACTTTGTATCTTTAATGTATAAAGTTTAATAAAAATGGTGTGTTGTTTAATGATTACAATAAAAAGCAGACTGCAAATACAGCTGTTACTTGTCAACACAGGAGAACTGCCATTTCTTTCTTTTTGCAATATACATTTTTGGTTTTGAGTAGGCTGTCTGTTTAAGCCTAATAAACATCTGTATTGAGAGTGTCAAGACAGTATATTACAATAGGCTCGTAATTCTGCTATCTGATTTCTTTTTGTGCTTGGTTATATTAAAAGTACATTCAAAATCCTATTAATATAATGTAAAAGAAATAATCCCATTGCCTCTAAAATATTTTTCAAAAACCTGAAAAACAATTAATATTACTATTCATATAAACATTTTCTTTTCACAATTTAAGAATACAATTCTGCTCTATGTTGCATATATATATAAATGAAGATGTGAGAAACCCATTCAATGCATTCTGCTAAGAGAAATCTGTTTACTGGCCACTGATTAGCTTTCCTCACACAATCTAGAAAACAGAACATTTTTTTTAAAAAAATGTCCCTTATTTCCCTCCTCCCCTTCATGGATTACTGCCTTGTTGTGGCGAAGGGACTTGCGTAACTCAACGAAACTATAAGCTATGCCCTGCAGGGCCACCCAAGATGGATAGGTCATAGCAGAGACCTCTGACAAAATGTGATCCACTGGAGAAGGAAATGGCAATCCACTCCAGTATCTTTGCCATGAAAACCCAATGGACAGTACCAAAAAGAAAGAAGATATGATGCTGGAAGATGAGCCCCTCAGGTCGGAAGGTGTCCAATATGCTACTGGGGAAGAGCAGAGGGCTAGTACTAGTAGTGCCAGAAAGAATGAAGCAACTGGGCCAAATGCAAAAGGAACTCAGCTGTGGATGCATCTGGTTGTAAAAGGAAAGTCTGATGCTGCAAATATTTTTTCTCCATAGGATCCTGGAATGTAAGATCCATGAATCAAGGCAAGCTGGACATGGTCAAACAAGAGATAACAAGACTGAATATTGACATCTTAGGAATCAGCGAACTAAAATGGACAGGAATGGGTGAATTTAATTCAGATGACCATCAGGTATACTACTGCGGGCAAGAAACCCTCAGAAGAAATGGAGTAGCCTTCATGTTCAATAAAAGAATAGGAAAAGCAATACTGGGATACAATCCCCAAAATGACAGAATGATCTCAGTTCGAATCCAAGGCAAACCATTCAATATCACAGTAGTCCAAGTCTATGCCCCAACCACTGGTACTGAAGAGGATGAAATTGACCAGTTCTATGAAGCCCTACAGCACTTTATAGAATTATCACCAAAAAACCATGGTCAAAACAAACACTCTTTTCCAACAACCCAAGAGATGACTCTACACATGGACATCACCAGACGGTCAACACAGAAATCAGATTGACTATATGCTCTGCAGCCAAAGATGGAGAAGCTCTATACAGTCAGTAAAAACAACACCAGGAGTTGATTGTTGCAAAATGTAGGCTTAAATTGAAGAAAGTAGGGAAAAGCACTAAGCCACTCAGTCCTAAAGGAGATCAACCCTGACTGCTCTTTAGAAGGCCAGATCCTGAAGATGAAACTGAAATATTTTGGCCACCTAGAAAGCAACCTGCAATAATTTTAACATATCGAACTACATAGACAAGAAGATTCTGAAATGTCAGCATCGCCATTTTTTTTAAGCCAGATGGCTAAAACTACTCAAGTGACTCAAAAACCATAGACCATTTTATCACTGAGCAATTTCTATTTTTTTTTTAAGATGACTTCTGACACAATGACATCTAATAAAGTTTAATAATTTATTAGGCATTCTTGATATTTTGGAATATAAACTCTGGCATTTAGAATGAACCTGAAGCACCAACATTTTAAAAACAGGAGAGGGGAATTAGATGTTACCAAATTTTAATTCATCCTCACAGGGGATACACTTGAGGAAAGCTGGGATACAAATGAATACTGGGAACTGTAGTCCAGCAATACCAAGAAAGCCCCCATTTCCTTATTAACTAACAAAGAAAAAGTTCCAATAAAATGTCCATTACAGAAATATTTCATATTTACATGTATATCACAACACAAATTGATATTTTACTAATAGTGTTTGCAGTTTCAATTAAAGTTTCATCATACAATAAGATTCCTGTGATCAAATGAAATCCTGTCCATACAGAGCAATGGGAGAAAACTACTATGGGAATGGGAGTAATACTTAAAAACAATGAGGCATGGGACAGGGAGGTACAAACATCACCCATCGTTTCATCTCTTCTAGTCTGATCCTAAATCCTGGCAAATTCCAAGACTGAAGACCAGGAGACCCCTCTGTCCTGAGGCTGAAATGAGTGGACTTCAGGGAGCTATTTTCATTCATTTCATTGTTCTCAGTGCAATAAATTCAGTATGCACCCTAAAGTTTTCAGGAGAAAGCAAGTAATTCTTAGACTGGATTTGGTTGTCCCTTGAAGTCAATAGAATTTCATTTAGTGATGGACAGCTTTTCTTGTCCAGGCAGAGGTGGGTTTCAGCAGGTTCTGACCAGTTCTGGAGAACTGATAGCGGAAATTTTGAGTAGTTTGGAGAACCGGTAAATACCACCTCTGACTGGCCCCACTCCTATCTATTCTCTGCCGCCCGAGTCCCAGCTGATCGGGAGGAAATGGGGATTTTGCAGTAACCTTCCTCTGGATTAGGGAGGGAATGGAGATTTTACAGTATCCTTCCCCTGGAGTGGGGCCAGAATGGAGATTTTACAGTATCCTTCTCCTGCCATACTCACCAAGCCATACCCACCAAGCCATACCCACAGAACCAGTAGTAAAATTTTTTTTGAAACTCACCACTTTGTCCAGGTCATTTCAGAGAGTTTTCTTGTTCAATCTATTTTCCATTTATTCTAAACTTGAAAATATTTCATGGGATACCTTATTTTACATGTAATGAATCATTACATACTGGCTGCCAGCAGTTTCGCAGTTTGATTCTCACTGGCTCAAGGTTGACTCAGCCTTCCATCCTTCCAAGATTAGTAAAATGTGGACCCAGATTGTGGGGGCAATATCTTGACTCTGTAAACCACTTAGAGAGGGCTGTAAAGCACTGTGAAGTGGTATATAAGTC